AAGGAGATGGGGAGGGAGGGAAGGAAAGAGGGAGGGAGGGAGGAGGGAAGGAAATAAAGAGAGAGAGGGAGAGAGGAAGGACAGAAAGAAGGAAAAAAGCAAGGAATAAAAAGCAAGAGAAGCAAGGGAGGGAGGAAAGAAAAAGGAAGGAAGGAAGGAAGGAAAAGAAAGAGGAGGTCAGCTTTTTTGATACAAACTACTCCTGACATCACATTCCCAGAGAGTCTATATATATATAGATATGTATATATATATATCAGTGTATCTCTCTCTCTGTTCCTGCAGAACTCATCCCTTCACTATGAAGGAAAAAAAAAACACGCTCAACAACAGGGGGTAGAAAAAAAAGCCCACCCCCCCTTATTCTTCTCCTGGCTGGAACCTCCCCCCGTTTCCTAACCGGGAGTGGGAGGGTCTTGCAAATGACTTATTCGGGGTGGGTGGGTGTCTTCAGGTAACAGATAACCGATCATCAGAGTTGGAAGGGACCTTATAGGTCATCTAGTCCAACCCCCCCTTCCGCCCAAGCGGAAGACCCTACACCACTTCTGACCAATGGCGGTCCAGTCTCTTCTTGAAGGTCTCCAATGGTGGCGCTCCCACAGCTTCCGCGGGGCGACATCTGTTCCGTGGCTTGATGGTTCTCAGGCCACCTGCTCTACCACGGCCTCCAGATGAAGGCCGAGGCCGCCAGGGTGGGCCTCTTTTCCGCCGGCGGCTTCTTGGGCGCAGGAGACGAGAGGAGGGAGAAGGCGTCGGCGTCGGAGAGGGTGTGAACGTTGCAGAAGTGTTTGATGAGCCGCGCTTGGGTCTCCCTCTTGGACTGGCAGAAGGAGAGGAAAGAGAAGGCTTCCCGTAAACAGCGCAGGTAACCCGTGTGGAAATCGAATTCGGGGTTTCTCCCGCCTGGAAAGACAAGACAAGACGGACCGCAGTCAATCGCCCGCTTGGAGGCGAGAGAAAAGCTTTGCAAATATTCTCGTTGTGTTTGTCAATTTGCTCAGAGGTGGCCTAGAGGAAGGAGGCGGACTTCGATCCTATTTCTCCCTCTCTCTGGGCGCGATGAGAATATAATAAAACTCCCGCCCTGGTGACAGGAAGGGCATCCGGCCAGTAAAACACTCCGCTCCATTCAGTTGCAACAAGACTCCACCCCCGCAAGGGATTACGGGGTCTTTAAACAGAAGATGATGATTGGTCAGTTGGGTCAAAAGAAAGAGGCCATATTTTGCCCTCCAGGACTGTCCCAACACCTTTGCGAGGTAGGCAGGAAGGAGGATGGATCGAGAGTGGCTTGGACATGTTTAATAAGTCGAAACCCGGCTCCTGGATCTATAGAATGGCTTTCATTTTGTGGTTTGGCCTTAACCGAGTTTCCGATTCAGGGATTGGATGTGTTTTTTAAGTTCAGGAACCAGGCAAAGGATGCTTTTAAATAAGAGTATGTAAAAAGTAGACTGAAAGCCTTACAGATTCCTCCTTATCTTATTGTGTTTGGTCCACAAATATATCTACCTCTGTTTCTTTTGCAAGCTTGGTTTGCTAGGTCTTCCAATAAATGAAACCTCAAAAGAAACACTTCCAAAGCTCGAATGAATGACATTCCTTTGGCCACCCATCTCGTTTCTTACAAGATTGTAAGAAGAAGTTTCTTTTATAACCCGGTTTACAAAAGGAGGATTTTATAATCCCACCAGAAATTTAAAAGCACAACTTTCCTCGCCTTCCCTTCTCATTTATATACTGTGCATCTAATTAGAAAGACTGGGCCCTGACTTAGATGTCAATCTTGGTTTTGCATTTACCTGATTCCTGCATCTGACACTGTTTCTTCAAATAACTGACGGCGGTTTCTAAAATGTCAGCTTTTTCCAACTTGGTGTTAGGTTGATGGCACTGGAATTCCCTCTCCAGCAAAACTTTTAGCTGGTCGATGCTGCTGTTAATTCGGTCACGGCGCATTTTCTCCACCACTGGTTTCCTCAGCTGTGAGAGAGAAGAGAAGAGAAGAGAAGAGAAGAGAAGAGAAGAGAAGAGAAGAGAAGGAAGGAAGGAAGGAAGGAAGGAAGGAAGGAAGGAAAAAGAAATATTAAAACTTCAAGCTAAACACAAAACCTAGGAAGCAGCAGTCGTGAGATTTTGAGGAAATGGGGGAAAAACTTTCCTCCCTTTAGAAAAAATATGTTTCTTGCAATCAAATTTAGATTTATCTGTTCTTTTTTTTTAAAGGGTGGCCTTCAAACAGAGGATAACTACCAAGCTGTTATCTGGGCAGGAGGGGTTGGATTGGATGACCTCTGAGGTGCCTTCTGTTTCAACGATTCTACTGGGCATACATCCTTCTCTAGAGAGCTCCAACTGGACACTTTTTTCCCCCTTGCAGTTTCTTTCTTTCTTTCTTTCTTTCTTTCTTTCTTTCTTTCTTTCTTT